CTAGGACACAGCTAACACGGGAACCCTCTGCCCCCAGCCCATCTTTAAATACCTGGCAGTTCCGTTACTGTCTGTACCAGGCGGATACCTCATAGGTGGAATTTACTTTGAGGGTTTTAATAAAAAGGGATCTTACGTGAGCTTCAACTAATATCCCCAAAGCAGAAGGCTCAGAGCAATGTGGGTTACCCAGAAAATTACATAGAAAAACATCATGAAGTTCGATTGCTGGACTTCCCTGGTGGTCCAGTGGTTAAGAATCTGCCTGCCAGTGCAGGGGACAAGGGTTCAATCCCTAGTCGGGGAAGATCCCACATGCCGTGGAGCAACTAAGCCCGTGCACCACCACTAGTGAGCCCACACGCCGCAACTACCGAAGCCCGCGTGCTCTAGGGCCCACATGCTGCAACAAGAGAAGCCACCGCAATGAGAGGCCGGAGCACAGCAACGAAGAGTAGCCCCCGCTCGCCGCAACTAGAGAAAGCCCGCACGCAGCTACAAAGCCCCAGCACAGCCAAAAATCATAAATAAATAAATAAAAAGTTCGATTGCTGACAATTCCGTATTCCTTGGCCTCTTGGAGAAGAGTTTCAGTGGGAACACAGTGATTTATGCCTGAGTGAGAGCCACACCCCAGATTAGAAAAATTCCTAAGTGCGAGGTAGAGACCTGTCAGTGGCAAGAGCAGCATCGGCCTATATCGATGATGATGGGGCATCAGGTAGGTATCAGAGCCCATGACGCAGGATGAGCTGGAGAGCGTGCTGGGTTCCTTCCTGCACCTGAACTCTAAGGCTCATCCACAACCCAGCGGGTCGGGGAGCAGCTGCCCTGATGGAGGCAATAAGAGGCTGTATCTCATCTGTACAGAGCTGAAGCCAAGAATGAAATCGACCACAAGTTGGACTGCTTTTTATCCTCACCACCGCAGTACTCTTCCCCCAAAATATCTTCGCTGGCCTAAGTTCCAAACAGTTGCTGCCGTTAGTTACCGCTGAATTTTCATAATATACACATAAACTTCAAAGCAGCACGTTTTTATTACTGATACTTGTCCCTTCATAAACATTGTATTCTAAATAGCAATTCATTCTGAGAACACCCAGCCACACAGCCAGACAGACTCAGCTCCCCACGTTTGTTTTGGGAGTAAATTCCTAGATGCTGGGCGTCACCCTCTCTGGGTGCAGGTTGAGTCACTGACGCCCCCCTGGTGTTTAGTACCGCTGCGTGCAAACAGCAGAGTCCATGTAAACAAGGGGGGGGGGCCCCAAGATGAGGACGTCAAGCTGGAGTTACCTCCTAAAATCTTGGCATTTTGATTTGTGTGGACACTTTTGGTTTTGGTTTTGGTTTTGCTTTTTGGCCGCGCGGATCGTCATGTGGGATCTAGTTCCCTGACTGGGGATTGAACCCGTGCCCCCTGCATTGGGAGCTCGGAGTCTTAACCACTGGACCACCAGGGAAGTCCCTGTATGGACAGTTTAGGACAGTGAGACGGGGGAACCCTCGAGGTGTCCTATTTTTGTTTCAATAAGTGCAAATTCTAGTTCACACGTGAAACACCTTCCTGAATTCAGATAACATCTTTAAAATGAAACATTTGTTTCTCTTTTAGTTGTTACTCCCTCGTTTTAAAACCAAAGAACCAATCCAGAAGATGATGATTGTTACCGACATCACAGAAGATCATTTTGTCATAAAGAGGAGGTGCTAATGTCATTAAGGCCACTTAAAAATGGTCAAAACGCTAAATCATGCAATATATATTTCATCACAAGTTTTTTAATTAATATGCCAAAAAACATTGAATTGTACTTTCAATGGGTGAATTATATAGGATGTGGATTATATCTGAATAAAGCCATTTCTAAAATGGTAGGGGGGAAGGAGTGTTTTGTTTTTTTTAATGACCCACTCCAGGCATCATATAAGCTAGATATGCCACTAGGTGGTGGTATTGCTGTTTTATAGAAGAGGAAACAGAGGCTCAGAGAGGTGAAGTGACTTGCTCAAGGTGCCACAGCTGGTAAGTGGCAGAATCTGGATTCCAAGTCAGGTCTGTGTGAGCCCTTTCTGCTCTCCCATCCTGCAGCCTTCTTTTTTTTTTTTTAATTTAATTTTATTTTTTTATACAGCAGGTTCTTATTAGTCATCCCTTTTATACATATTAGTGTATATATGTCAATCCCAATCTCTCAATTCATCCCACCACCACCCGCTCCCTGCCACCTTCCCCCCTTGGTGTCCATACGTTTGTTCTATCTGTGTCGCTATTATCCCGCAGCCTTCTGCACCTGCCGTGGCCCCCTCCCACGGAGACCTTGACAGTGCGGGGGTAGCCAAAGCATCCACTCCACAGCTCACCTGGAGAAGGAAGTCAGGGCCAAGCATGGCGATTGAGGGAACAGGAGGTGATGTGCCGTGGAGATGTGCACCCAGGACAGGGTGTGGGCCCACACTTGGGTTTCTGGGGCAGCACCTGATAGCTTAGAATTTAGACATGACTGACCCCAGGTACCTCAGCCCCCTTGGCCAGAGCCCAAGCCATGGAGAATTCAGGAGACCCTTGGCACTTAGTTTGGGTTCCAGGGAGAGACAGGAAGGCCGAGGATACGCAGTAGTTACCCATCTGCTGAGGCAGCTTTTGGAAGCTGAGACACAGGCCATAGGCCGCTGTCACTTGTGTTTATCCAAAGCCCAAAAGAAGGGGTCTCAATGAGAGGAACCTCCAGGTTTAACAAGCACCCACCCCGTGATCTTGCAGGTGCTCTGAGGCCCACACGGGCAGAACAGGCCAACATTCTTCTTGGCCTCGGTCCCCATTCCCACTCTTCTGCCAGCTCACGGTTCAACCCCATGGAAACTGAGAAGGGGGTGGAGTACAGGCCAGAAGAAATGCGGGTGATGTGGTGCAGCCTGGCTTCCCAGCCCTGGGGACAGTCAGCCCTGATTACTTGCTCGTGTTGGCCAGAGACAGAGAGAGACAGTTGATGAGAGAAAGACTGAGGGATGAAGAAGGGGACAGGCCAGAGGTTCTCCAGGCTACTGTGTCCCCCAGGGGGCAGCTAGCAGTGTTTGGAGACAATCTGTGTTGTCACAACTGGGGAGGGGGTGCTACTGGCATCTAGTGGGTGGAGGCCAGGGATGCTGCTCAACTTCCCAAAGCGCCCAGGACGGCCCCACAGCAAAGAAGGATGCAGCCCCAAATGTCAATATCGCTGGAGTCAAGACAGGGATAGGGAGACAGAACATAGAAACAGCAAGTGACACAGAGACACAGACACAGGAACTGGCATCATTTGGGGAGAACAAAACCAGGAAGGAACTCAGGGTTGTGGCGGGGGAGTGGTGAGGAGGGAAAGAACTGGAGAAGGAGGGATGGGGGAGAGATGGGAGTGAGGAAAAGAATTTGGTCCAAAGGCACCATCGGATTCAAGTTCCATATTCAACAGACTAATGTTTCAAAGATTTAAATAATACTAAGAATGCCTGCTCTTCAACAGAATATATTATCTGTATCCAACCCAAAGGCTGGCAGAGTTCTGCCAGCAGAAGTGCAGGAGAAGGCAAATGAACTAACTTCAGCCACCGGTGGGCATAGGAGAAAAAGAGACCCAGGCGAACAGTGGGCTTCAATCACCCCTAGGAAAAAAATTTTAAGTCATGTCTAATAGATAAGACTCTAGATGTTGAAAGGGTGTATCTGTCTGCTTCCAAAACCTTTCAGAGCACCCATTTCTGGTCCCAAACTAAGAAGACCCAGATACAACCCCAAGAACTCCCCAGATCTGGCCCCTTTGCAAAGCCCCAACATCCCCCAAGTACAGGGCTGAGCTCTTCGAGGTCTGGACTGTCCCCAGTACCAGATAGTTCCTGGGACAAGGCAGAGCCCAAAAAATATGAGTGGAATGTTTGCAATGGCTAAACTTGAACTCTTTGTAAGTCCAAGATCCTTCCAGCAGCCTCTGTCCCTCTCTGCTTTCACCTCCGCCTCTCTCTTTTCTCTGCTCCCCTGCTCTCCTCCAGCAACACTGGCTCCATCCTGTCCCTCAAACCCACCAGGCACCCTCCTGCCCCAGGGCCTTTGCATGTTCTGTGCCCTCATGGCTCACTCCCTCCTCCCCTTCAGGTCTTTAAATTGCCACCCCCTCTCCTTCCCTTTCTACCTCCTTCCCATTCTTTGCTTTGTTTTCCCTGCAGCACTTACATCCTTCCCACTTGCTAAATAAGTCCCTCATTCATTTGTTTAATGTTTATCTCTAGATAGACTCCTGCAGTAAAAGACCGCAATATATATTTATTGAATGAATAAATGTGCTTTAAGCCTCATAATGACTCTCTGTGATGGGGAATATCATTCACCCCATTTAAAGATGGGAAAACTGTAGCTCAGGGACCTGAAGTTGGTCACCCAAGATCACACATCCAAGAAGTGAAGTCAGGATTCTGACTACAAGCCAAGCCTCGGTGCAGGACAAGGGTCACAGCCACCCTCGGAGGAATGGCCCTGAGATGGACAACAATTGGCTAACCCTTCATGAACACTCGCTGCTCGCCAGGCACAGTGCTGAGCACCCTGTAAATGGCCCTTCTTTTTTAAAAAAAAATTTTTAATAGGATAATTATTTATTTTATTTATTTATTTTGGCTGTACCGCATGGCATGCGGGATCCTAGTTCCCTGACCAGGGATGGAACCCACGCCCCTTGCAGTGGAAGCGCAAAGTCTTAACCACTGGACTGCCAGGGAAGTCCCCAATATGGCCCTTCCTCTGATCCTCGTGATTGTGAGGAAACTGAGGCTCGGAGAGGTCATGTGACCTGCTCAAGGTCACGAAGCTAGCGAGTTCCACAGCCGGGTTCCAGCTTAGGCAGGTGGCCCAAGGTTTTCCTTCACAACCTGTGGCTATGGGGCCTCCCAGGCAAAGCCTTTCCCCAGAGTCCTGTTCTGTCCCTGGACCGGGACCTTGGGCAGGTTCCTTGCCCTGGGCCTGCTCACCTGGAAAGGGGGCCGTCTGGATTCTTCAAAGATCCTTCAATGATTCCCACACTGGAGATTTCGTAAGATTCACGTGCAGTTGGCAGCTCCCTTTCACATGGGTAAATATGGAGCTCTAGAGAGATGTGGTGTGGAATGTGGAAAATTAGAGAGAGCTGGGTGCCAGTACCCGCTGGCCAGCCATACACTGTGGGACCTCCCTGAGGAGGGTGGACGCTTGGGCCCCCTCCCCAAAAGATGTCAAGGTCCTCTCTCAGGACCTTGGAAGGTGACCATATTTGAAGATATCAGATTAACCGAGATAATCAATTTCAAATAAGGTCATTAGGGTGGGCTCTAATCCAATATGACTTATGTCCTTATAAAAAGGGGAAATTTGGACATAAAGACACAAACAAAGGGAAGACAATGCAAAGACACAAGAAGAAGACGGCCATAAGTCAAGAAACACCTCAGGCCACCAGAAGCTGGGAGCGAGGCCTGGAGCCGTTTCTCCCTCTTTTCCCCCAAAGGGAGCCCCCCTCAGCACCTGGATTTTAGGCTCCCAGCCTCCTGAACTGTGAGAATAAATGTCTTTTCTTCCAGCCAGCCAGTTTGTGGTCATGTGTTACAGCAGCCCTAATCCAGTGGATACCCCAATAAATTTTGGGTTCTGCGGAAAGTGAAGAAAAAGAGAAGGGGGGTCACTGCATACGTGCTGAAATCACACACAGTCAGGGACTTCCCTGGCGGTCCAGGGGTTAGGACTCGGCGCTTCCACTGCAGGGGGTACAGGTTCGATCCCTGGTCGGGAACTAAGATCCCACATGCCACACGGCACAGCCAAAAAAAATAAAATAAAATAGAATTTACAGCATGAGAAAGAAATATTATTCAAAAAAAAAAAAAAAAAAAAAACACAGTCAACTTGACTCAAATTCTTGAGGCAAAGTCCTTGTTCTATTTGAACTTCAATTCTATCCTTGACTCCTGGCTGGATGGTTCCTGCACTCTGTTCTCAGAAATTCTCTTGGCTTTTATCTCTAGATTCACTCTTCTGATTCTTCATGGTTTCCCATTAAGACACAAGGCAGGGACTAACCTGGTGGTGCAGTGGTTAAGAATCCGCCTGCCAATGCAGGGACACGGGTTCGAGCCCTGGTCTGGGAAGATCCCACATGCCTCGGAGCAACTAAGCCCATGAACCACAACTACTGAGCCTGCGCTCTAGAGCCTGCAAGCCACAACTACTGAGCCCATGCACCACAACTACTGAGCCTGCACTCTAGAGCCCACAAGCCACAACTACTGAGCCCACGTGCCACAACTACTGCAGCCCATGTGCCTAGAGCCTGTGCTCTGCAACAAGAGAAGCCACCACAATGAGAAGCCTGCGCACCACAATGAAGAGTAGCCTCCGCTCGACACAACTAGAGAAAGCCCACGCGCAGCAACGAAAACCCAACGCAGCCAAACAAATAAATAAATAAAAATTTTAAATCCCTTAAAAAAAAAAGACATAAGGCAAGGTGTCTGATCACAAGCGACTTATGGAACATGACTTACTCGATTTATTCTTGCCCAGATACTGGAGATGCTTTAATAACAACCAAAAAACTGTTCATAAATAGGGATGGGTGCCTTATCAAGCACATTAAAAGGATTCGGTACCTACCCTTCAGGGAAGGGCAGCTAAAACCTTGATATGGATTGGCCTAAAGAAAAATAATCAGACAAAATACAAGAACAAGAGGGACGACGAATAGGAATTTCACTTCACGCAACTTAATTTTTATTTATTTATTTATTTTTTTTGCGGTACGCGGGCCTCTCACTGTTGTGGCCTCTCCCGTTGCAGAGCACAGGCTCCAGACGCACAGGCTCAGCGGCCACGCCTCACGGGCCCAGCCGCTCCGTGGCATGGGGGATCTTCCCAGACCGGGGCACGAACCCGTGTCTCCTGCATCAGCAGGCGGACTCTCAACCACTGCGCCACCAGGGAAGCCCACACAACTTAATTTTAAGAAAAGCATGGTTATCTCAATAAATGAAGCTAAAGTTTCTCCTGGACCCCAGAACTCGAACCATATTTATAAGTATATAATTCAGCTACCATTTAGTTTAAATGGCCCTGTTGGGCTAGCTTGGGAAATGTTATTATTTTACTATTTTCTGCAGAGAAAATAATTTCCAATTTACCTATCAAACAATTGATGGGCTGTTAAAATACAACCCATTTAAAAATTGAGTTAACATATAAAATACTGCTTTATGCCATAATAAAAATATTAGTACTTTCAGGTTTTTTAAAAATTATATCAATGTAGAGTAGTAATAGGTTTTATCCACCCCCCCAAATGTTACATTTAATATTGTTGATTTTGAAGGTTTTTTGTAAACATTAAAGAGTAACCATCTTGATTTTTATCTTCTCTTTCCTTTCATCCATTGATAACAAATCTTGTTACAATTTTCTTCCTTCAGTTTTACTCTCCCTGTGCTTTTTCCCTTGGGATTCCTTAGGAATCAAGGTTTGCATTCTAAAAACTCACAGTATTTTGCAGAATCAAAATACTGAGACCTTGAGAGCTAAACGGGATCTTAGAAACAGCTGAGTCAAACAAATGTTAATTGGACACAGTAGATATCACTGAATATTTGATAAATGGACCACCCATAGGTTACAAAGCACAAAGCTGAACTGCTGCCATTGACTCTGGGAAAGCATTCCAACATGTTTTCTAAAACAGAGAAAGCCAAGGAGAAGAATACACCTAAATTGTTTTGAAAGGCTGGGTTTCAAATGTGGAATAATGGAGCTATGTGTTTGTAAACACAGCTATTTAAAAGAATGTAAGCTGCCTGCCAATGCAGGGGACACAGGTTCGAGCCCTGATCCGGGAAGATCCCACATGCCCTGAAGCAACTAAGCCCATGCGCCACAACTACTGAAGCCCGCACCCCTAAAGCCTGTGCTCCGCAACAAGAGAAGCCACCGAAGACCCAATGCAGCCCAAAATAAATAAATAAATAATAAAATTTTAAAAATTAAAGAATGTATGACTTATCTTGCCATTAAAATACCATGCAAACTTGGAAAGCTGAGCTTTGTCAGCTAAAACTAGTAAACAGAAGAGTGCAAATGAAATCATTTCTAACTGAATTCGTTGTTTATGATGATGATACTGTTGGGGTTTTTTTGGTTGGTTGTTTTGTTTTGTTTTTGGCCGCACCACATGGCTTGCGGGGTCTTAGTTCCCCGACCAGGGATCGAACCCAGGCCCTTGGCAGTGAAAGCACAGAGTCCTAACCACTAGACCACCAGGGAATCCCCAGATACTATTTATTGTTTGGAACCAACACAGTCTTGATCATGTTTCTTTCCGGAAGGACTCCCCTCTAGAGCTCTCGTTGGAGATGAGGGACAGCTATTATAATTAGATGCTAGAGAAGTTACAACAAGAAGCTAACATTTACTGAGTGTTGATAATGTGCTAGCTCTTGCAATAAGCAAGTTGTACATAGTCTCTCATTTAATCTTTCCAAGAACTCTATGAGGTCATGCATTTAATAGGCCTAAATTCAGTTACAAGTAACAGAGACCCAAAATGACAGTGGCCTAAATAAGATAGAAGTTTACTTTTCTGTGACATAAAAATCTGTTAGGGAGTGGTCCAGGGCTGGTGTGGCAGCTCCACGGTATCAGAGAAACAACTTTCTTCTGTCTTGTCCATCTACTATGCATGCCCTCCACTCTCCATTCCTAAAACGACTTCACGTTCCAGATGGCTGCTCCATCTCCAGCCATTGCACCTGCCGTCCAGCTCAGGGGAAGGAGGAAAGGGGAGGAGAATGGCAACAGCGCATCCCAGAAGTTCCCCACATCACTTACACCCTATTGGTGAACTTGGTCACAAGGCTAAACATAGCTGCAAAGGAAACTGAGAAATGTAGTCTTCATTTGGCATAGCCCCGGCTAAAATTCAGGGGAGAAACGATCTTAGGGGAAAATGAGCAGTCTTTGCCACAGGTAGGATATTCTTGTGAATCCTCTTTCACAGATGAGAAAACTTAGAAGTTAGTAACTTGACCAAGGTCACAGCATTAATAGGTGATGAGCTAGGATTTGCAAAATCCTATTTTGTGACACTTCTTCTCATGTACCTGGCAATGGTAAGGTATTAGTTACTAACTCTACTATGTTGCTCAGAAGAGAGAAGTTAAACAAACACAGTACATTTAGGATTTTACTCTGTTACACTCAAATCACTGCTTATTTTATCAATCAGAAATTTTTAAAGTGCAGCTATCCCCATGACAGAGAGTACTGAACAGACTAACAAAAAATAGGATTTCCCCCTTCTCCAGGGTATGTGGGTAAAAGAGCCAGCCCCACTCATGCCCCAGAGGGTTTATGAGCAGCAGGTCAGCGTTCTCTCTCTCCGGGGCTCACTGTGGCTCTGGCTGCAGCATCTTACACCCTTCACAAAAATGAACCCAAATGGATCATACACCTAAAATGTAAAATGTAAAACTCTTAAAACTCCTAGAAGATAACACAGGAGAAAACCTAGATAGGTGATCTTGGGCATAGTAATAACTTTTAAAATATAACACCAAAGGCACAATCCATGAAAGAAATAATTGATAAGCTGGACTTCATTAAAATTAAAAACTTCTGCTCTGCAAAAGACAGTGCCAAGAGAATTAGAAGACAAGCCACAGATTGGGAGAAACTGTTTGCAAATGACACATCTGATAAAGGTCTGTTACCCAAAATACACAGAGAACTCCTAAAACTCAACAATAAGGAAATAAATAACCTTATTAAAAAATGGGCCAGGACTTCCCTGGTGACACAGAGGTTAAGGATCTGCCTGCCACTGCAGGGGACATGGGTTCAATCCCTGGTCCGGGAAGATCCCACATGCCACGGAGCAACTAAACCCGTGAGCCACAACTACTGAGCCCATGTGTCACAACTACTTAAGCTCACGTGCCTAGAGCCCGTGCTCCACAGCAAGAGAAGCCACCACAATGAGAAGCCCACGCACCACAACGAAGAGTAGCCCCTGCTTGCCGCATCTAGAGAAAGCCTGCGAGCAGCAACAAAAACCAAATGCAGCCAAAAATAAATAAATAAATTTATATTTAAAAAATGGGCCAAAGACCTTAATAGACACCTCACCAAAGAAGAAACACAGATGGCAAATAAGCATATGAAAAAATACTCCACATCATATGTCATCAGGGAAATGCAAATTACAACAACAGTGAATACCATTTCATACTTAAAGATCTGAAATACTGACAACATCAAATGCTGGTGAGGATGTGGAGCAACAGGAACTCTCATACATTGTTGGTGGGAATGCAAAATGGTACAGCTACTTTGGAAGACAGTCTGGTGGTTTCTTACAAAACTGAACATACTCTTACCATACAATATCCAGCAATCTTGCTCCTTGGTATTTACCCAAAGGAGCTAAACACTTAGATCCCCACAAAAACCTGAACGTGCATGTTTACAGTAGCTTTATTCATAAGCTGTGGTACATCCGGACAATAGGATATTATTCAGCACTAAAAAGAAATGAGCTACCAAACCATGAAAAGACATGGAGAAATCTTAAATTCATATTATTAAGTGAAAGGAGCCAGTCTGAAAAGGCTATGTACTATATGATTCTAACTATATGACGTTCTGGAAAAAGCAAAATTAGGGAGACAGTAAAAAGATCAGTGTTTTCCAGGGGTTGTGGTGGAAGGAGGAAT